ATAAAAATTTTTGTACTTGTAATTTTAACTTTTTATACATATTAGATTGTATTTTGTTGGTGGGACTTGAAAGTCCCGTCAGTCATTTAGATTTTTACATAAAAGATCTGTCGAAATAAAATATATTAATTTTAAAAACTGTTTTGTTTCTAACATGCAAAGAAGATGAAACCGACTACTATAGAAGAAATAGAATGCATGCTAGAGGAAATTCCCGATGATGCTGCATTCAATTCTGACATTGAAGATTTTTCAGATGATGATGAATTTGACCCATTACATAATGCTATTGAGGAATTTGACGCATTACATAATGCTACTAAGGAATTTGAACCATTTAAAAATGCTACTGATGAATTTGAACCATTACAAAATGCTACTTCATTTGTTGATTTTGATATTGAAAATATGGGTATGCTCTCAAGTATAAAATTAGTTTGATTTATTATAATATTATATGTAATTTTTAGAAATTGTATGTGTTGATGAATTGGGAGATTTGGATACAAATAAAGAAATCTGCGAAAGCTCAACTGATTTTTTACTACCAACAACATCTAATGAAGATTCTAAAAAAAATGTCAATAATATTGGTATGTTGTAATTAATTATAAAACAAATTCATTTTATTTAATTATATATTTGTTTTTAGACATATTGGATGTTGACTTGGGAAATGTGAGTACACAAATTAAAAAAAATCAAAAGGCTAGACAAAAAAAAAAAGTTAGTTCAACTACTAAAACACTCAGGGAAGTAAATACTGATTCAGCTGATGAGAACCATGCATTCAATCCTGTGTGGAAAAGAAAATTGAACATTCCTACATCCAGGCCTGAGTACAATCTACCAACAGGAGCTAATGAAAATTCATTTTCGAAGTGTAATACTCCTACTGATGTTTTTTTAGTATTCATGGATTGTATTTTAGAGGACATAGTATATCAGACAAATCTTTATGGAACACAAAATGGTAAAAACTTTCATATCAAAAATGAAAATATGCTAGCATTTATTGGTATAAATTTTATTATGGGATACAATCGCTTACCTTCATGGAAAGACTATTGGTCTACTTCCCCTGATTTGGGGGTAAAACTTATTGCTGAATCAATGCCCCGTGCTTTATTTGATAAGATTCTTGTTAATTTACATTGTAACGACAACACTGCTCTGCCAGATAATAATAAAGATAAACTATACAAAATAAGGCCTGTGATTGACAAAATTAATTTCGTTTTCAAACAGCATTATTTTGGGACGAGGGAAGTGAGTGTAGACGAAAGCATGATTAAGTTTAAAGGTAGATCGTCACTAAAACAATACAACCCAATGAAACCAATTAAAAAAGGATACAAACTGTGGTACTAGCTGACCAAAAAGGTTATATTATGAATTTTAAAGTATATCAAGGCAAAGAAGAACTAGTGAATTCTAGTTTTGAAAAATATGGACTTGGGGAACGTGTGGTACTAGAACTAACAGAACGTTTGTGGAATCAAAACCGAGAGCTTTATTTTGATAATTATTTTTCATCTACATTGTTAATTCAAAAGCTGAAAGTTGAAAAAACACTGGGCTGTGGAACAATTAGATTAAATCGAAAAGGGTTACCGTCAGAAATTACATCTGATAAAACACTAAATCGAGGTGACCACGATTCCAAATATTTGTCAGATGGAACTGCATTTTTTAAGTGGAGGGACAGTAAGCCGGTACATATCATTTCAAACTTCCATGGATCTGAAACGACAACTGTTACAAGGAAAGAAAAAAATGGCACATCACATCCAGTTCCATGTCCTACAGCAGTTGCTGATTATAATCGGTTCATGGGTGGAGTGGATTTGGCAGACCGTTTTAGGGCATTATATAATGTGGAAAGGAAATCACGTAAATGGTGGCACCGTATGTTTTTTGGTCTTATAGACATATTGTTTGTAAACTCATATATAGTTTATTGTGATTTATTTGAGAAAATATCTGTTTTGCAATTTCGGAGAGCCGTTGCACAAGGGCTTTTAACAAATAAACAAATAAAAAAAACCAGTCACCACAAACACCAATAACATGAAACGACGCAAAAATGCATTTTCCATGCCACGAGATGTCAGAACAAGTAATACAGGAGTTCATTGGCCGAAGTTTACAGAAAAAAGAGCAAGATGTGAGGTGTGCAGTTCCAAAGGTGTGGAATCTAGACCAGCGTTTCCCAAACCATGGGTCGCGAAATTTTTTTGATGGGTCGTGACTCGAGGTTACGGTTACAGTTATTTTATCCGTAAATTGATAAATGCTTATGTTATAATTCTATAATTCTATAATCTATATCTATATTGTATAATAATAATGTGAAGTCTAACTAATATTGTAGAGTAATAATTACGTAAAGTTATTACGATTATGGAATATTTCTTATCTTATAGGTAAAATATATGCTAATGACTAGTCGATGCGATCGGTCTGGGTCGTTTGTCCATAATCCATAATATGCAGTTGAGCAACGAGCGGTACATCGAGACTACGAAAAGTTTAAGTTTACGATTATTCAACACGCATTTTTAACTATTTTAACATATTTTTACGTAATGGATAAATTTATGATTCGTAAAACTACGACCTGCAGTGGTAAAAATGAAACTCTTATTTTTGGTGTGCAGTATATAATGAATATCCAGAACTTTCAATTAATGCAATAAAAAAACTATTACTTTTTCCTACCACTTATTTGTGCGAAAAAGGATTTTCTACCATGGCCAATATTAAAACAAAACAAAGAAACAGATTAGATGTCACACATGACATGCGCATCAGTTTATCTGAAATTGTACCCCAATGGGAAATTTTATGCAACAGCATCAAGAATCAAAGTTCACACTAAATTCAGCAATAAATATTCTATTACACTAATTTTTTGTATTTTTTTTTTATTTATTTATTATAAGTTATTATTGTTCAGTATGTTGTATTTTAATAAAAATCTTATTTATTTACAGTTTACTTTTTTTTTTTTTTTTTTAGCTAGGGGTCGCGTACCCCATAAAGATTAAATTTATGGGTCGCCATTGCAAAAAGGTTGGGAAACGCTGATCTAGACCATTTTCTGTGTGTAATCATTGTAAAGTGCATTTGTGTGTCAATGAGAAGAAAAACTGTTTTGCCGATTACCATGAGATGAATTAAATATAAAATTAATATTAATCTAGACCGTTTTGCATGTAGTGAGGGTTTTAGCCGCCATCTTCTTATTTATGCTGTCAGAAAATTTGTTAGGTTATGAAATTAAGTTGTAATGAACACTCATCGACCTTATACTAATAGACATGAATTGCCTATAATGGCAGGCGTGTATATTTACAATTATTGTATACTGTAATAATATACAATATTATACTATAATATGTACTTATAACATATAATATGTTATAGCTAAACTATAATATCGATTCCTGAATACGGAATAATTATTAAAATATATGATACCAGTATATTAAAATGTTATTCATATTATCAAATTAAAAAGAATAACAAAATTAATTTATATCTGTTTTGAATACAATAAAAATAAAATCTTATAAATATATATATATTAATTATATACTTTACTGAAAGTAAAACAAGGAAAAAAGTGACATTATGTGTTGAGTTTTTGTAACAAAAAAAATACAAATTAAATAATGTACAATTTTAAAACTTATTAATACATATTTTCTTCATTGCACACAGTATTTAACTATTATATAAGTACCTACTCATTTACAATTTTATTTTATTTTAACTTTTTTCTAATGCTAAGTCTTGGTTTTTCAATTTGTTTGGCTATGCGTTTTAATCTTAATGTAATATAGGAATTGATGATTATTGTTACTAATTGGTCCCTATGATTAGTAAATAATGTTTGGCCAAAAATGATTGTTCATACTACTAGTTTGAAACACAGTTGTGAAGACTTATCTTTTTATTTTTATGTACAATTTATTAATAAAACTTTTTTCATACATATAATTTAAATCTGTGCTCCTTATCCATTTTTCAGACACGCTACATATATAGAATACATCCCTACTTGGCTTAGTTAATGCATTATTAATATCTTTTATATTTATTAACAAATTGTTTGTTTGGTTAACTACTAAAAACTCTTTACAAATATTACAATTTATTAGTTTTGACGCTTTCCTGGCTACAAATCCAGATATGTATTCTGTAATATTATCAACAAAAGCTGACACTTTAAAATATGATTCCAAATAATCATGGTCATTTTGAAAATCATCATTTGAATCGGTTTGTATTTCATTATTTAACTCTGAATCTATTATTATTATTGAATCTGGTGTATTAATTAATTTTGTAATTAACATAGACTCAGGAAGACAATATTTCCGTATTGATAACCACTAACATGGTGATGGACAAGTAATTTTTTATAGGAAACCTTGAATTCTTTTGCAGAGGGATTATTATTATAGCCACCCTTATCTTATTGAGCTAAAAAAAGTTTCCACATGGTCTTGTGAAATTTTATAAGATAAAACATACTCAATGTTATAATTTTGGTTAAGAATTTTATAATAGTTAACTAAATTTTTTAGACCCCAGACAAGACCTATAAAACCAGTTTTCCTATTAGAATCCACAACTTTAGTGCCATCTGTAAATTGTAGACCATAAATATAGGTTTCAAATTGACTAATAAAATTTGCATACTCATCTAAAGTATTTGAGGTTAGTGCTAAATTGTATTGTGATTTGGAAAATGTTGAACGACAGTTTAAAACATCAAATGCATTATTTATTTAAATTTGCCCCCAATTTTGTACACATACTTAAATTGCATTGAGCCCCATCAAATGTCAACGAATAAATTTTAACACCGGTGTCATAGAGAAGATCTAAACATTTTTTCATTAAATTTGCTCTTTCAGCGGAATTAAAACCTTTAATCGAAACAAAACCTACAGGTAATTTCCAGTGGCCATTTACACTTACTACTAAAAATACAAGAGCATTAGTTGCATGGTCAACAATATCACCATCTATTATCACACCAGAACCTATATCAACTAGTCCATGAAATTGTTTTCCATCAAGTTCTACCTTATCTTTAATGGACATTTCGTCTACAACTAAATTACAAATAACAATACTATTTTCTTTGACCTTTTTTTTGAGAGTTTGAAACGATTCTTTAGTAAAATACTTTGATACCATTAAGAAATAGTTCTAGGATGGGGCAGCATATCAGAAAATTGTGTTCTCACAAAATTATAAGCCATTGTAGAGTAATACTGTAATGTAACTGCAATTTTTTTTAAATTTTCAGAATACTCAGTTTTCTTGCTATTTAACATTCTACTAACAATTTCATTTAAACTTCCGGTACCCATAGACTACAATAAAAAAACAAATAAATTATTAATACACACATACATATAAAGTAATATTGTTTAATAATTTGTAGAGAAATTATTTATATTACTATTATCAGAATGAGGAGCTCTATACATTTTATACGAATTGAGTACAATTTGTTAAAAAGGATTCAAAACAAGAGATAAGTGGATCACAAAATCCACAGGCTTTTAGTTTTAATATTAATTTATGATTAACCCTATCGAAAATTCACTTGTACAAATTGAGAAGCAGTTTCAGACAAAAGGTTTGAGTCTTCTAAAGTTTTGATTAAATCTTCGTAACTTTTAACTTTTTTTGCCAATCTTCGATTTCGTTCTTCCATATTTTTCAATTTATTCCTGGCCTCATTATGCTTTTTTTTAGCAAATGCTAAATGTCTTTTGGCTCTTTTTGGTGTAGCAAAATGTTCGTCAGTTAAGTCATTAAAATATCTCGGGTTGTTTAAAAGAAGTTTCCGTTTTTTTGGTGTATGAGTAGGTGATATACTAAATTACATAGCATTTCATTAAAATTATAAAAAAATATATTTATTAGTAATATATATATACTTTAAGTTTAAACTAGTAGAGGTGTGCAATCTTTGAGGCGAGTCGTCTTGATTCAGAGAAATATTGTTGCAAATAACACTATAACATGGGTATACAATTTCATTAAAATAACTCTGGGTAAATTAAAAAAATAGATTTACAAGCATAAAAAGTTTACATACGCGTTACTTGGAATTTTGGGAACTCGATGAACCTTTTCACCGACATTAATACTAGAAACAGCGTCGGGCATTAAGCGGCCATTGTCTTTAATGTCATTAGGTGAAAAGTGTTTACTGCAAACTTTGTATGATACAAGATGTTTTGCTACTGAACAAAATTCCATCCATCTAATTTTCAAATCCTCATCATCCGTTGGAAATCGGTTTAAAACCTATTACACGGGTAATACTTATAACTATAATACACCTATTAATTTTTAAATATTTAACTTACTGATACAATTTTATTCCCGAAGTCTTGTCATAAGTAATGCCACAATTTGGAACAACACATTTAAACCTCATATTGTTAGTGTACTAACACTAAGCTAACGTCGGTTATTACTTATTAAGTAGTAAACTAAACAAAAACGAATTAATTTGTTTATTTGGTCGTCATTCCTTTAACAAAAATGTGTTTAAAAAATGTCCATTGTTGTAGTGATAATACGCAGACGCTCGTATCATACAGTGTATGGTACCGTATACAAGTAAAGAACGAGCGCCCTCTATATTGCCACGCTCCGCCGACACTAATCTCCTGTCTATTAGTATAAGGTCTATGTGAACACTAGTCTATCGCTTTTGTGTTTACTCGTGGCCTATCGCTATTTCGAAATTCATTTTTCACAATTTCACATATTATTCTGCGCTTGTGTTAATTGTTATTTGCATTAATTGAATTTTTTTTTTGTCAATTGTTTCTGTTTGTCGGTGTATTAATTTTTACAATGAATACATTAAATATTCCAAAGAATTACATCAAATGTTCGTATTCATTTTGTCAAAATAAATGGCCCAAAATCCTAACGTTAGTTATTTTTCGCTTACGAGTTATCCAACTAAGTACCTATGTATAATAAAATAAAATAAATTCATTATATAGAAAAATGTAATAAAACTAAAAAATAATTCTTAATCATAGCCGTGCCAAGTGGATTGAAAACTGTGGTATCACAATTCCTGTTGATTCCATAAAAAATCCTTAAAGGTGTGTGGCGAATATTTTGAACAAAAAATGTTTTTAAATGATCTTCAAAATAGACTTCATAGTCATGCTATACCAAGACATTTTATAAGTGAGTGTACAGTTTCATTTTTATATTAGATTGTTTTATTATGTTTGAAAATGAAATATACTATATAGTTTGTATTATGTTTTAGATGATACACCATCATCTTCCAGCAGCATTTCACGTAAACTTGATTTTTGTTCTACTGTTGACAATAATATATCAAATGCTCCAGCAGAATGTGAAACAACAATTCTCTCTTCTCCAAATGTGTTAGCTCTACCGTTGTATTCTAGAACACCAAGTAATTATTATATTATTTATTTATCATATGTATTATTACCTACTCTAACCATAACATTTCATAAATAATAATCATGACCTGTCTACAGAAAAGTTCGCATTTTTTATGATAATGTTATTTTCAATAACCATAGTTTTAAAAAAAAATGCTGCCTCTTGGTGGCAAAAAACTGCGATAACTACCAACAACTATTACTCTGTCACCAGGTTTACACATATCCACCAAATCATCCTCCAATAACAAATCAACAAACCGGGCCACTTGCCCGGCTGGACTTTTTTCAGCGGATTCTTCAATTGTTAAAGTCTGCCGATCTTTAAAAACAGAGAGCCCAAATTCAGTTTCTAACAGATTACCGTCATCATCTCTCGATGGGTAAGTGCAATTAGATGTAGCCGAAGTAAACGCGAAGTTCGGAGATGTGAAGTCGGTGTGTATATGCTCATACATTTTTTTAGTTGCCGGGCAATAGTGTACACTTTTTACTAGTACCGCTTTAACATCTGAACTCATTGGGTACGTACAGAAATAGTCCGTGCGCCCGGGAATACGTCAATTCATCGCGAGTCAATTCACCGTGTGTCATTTCATCGTGGTCAATTTATCGCGGCGTCAATTCACCGTGTGTCATTTCATCGTGGTCAATTTATCGCGGCGTCAATTTATCGCGACGTCAATTTATCGCGACACTAATTCATCGTGTGTCAATTTATATATATTATATTTTTAAATAACTACTCCAGAAAAACCTAGAATGACGTTATATTATTACTGTGGCTGATAATAATCTCCATTACGATAACGATGAGTGTTAACTAGGCCAGTTTATGCCCCAGTCGATCGACAACTGTTGAACTTTATTTATATTGCCGCGTCGCCGTTTTTGTGTTAGTGCGTTTTCCTTCTTTTATACAATTATGGATTTTGAAATGTTAAAAACTGAAAGTGGAAAAAGTATGCTTTCATTCAATGGTTACATTTTCGTAAAAGAAAAAGAAAGTGACGTTAAATCAATATGGAAAAGTAACCAATATTTTAAAAACAAATGTCGAGGACACGTTCATTTAAGTGATGGAAAAATATTAAAAAGTACTGACCATAACCACGTTCCGAATTCAACAGACACTAATGTTAAAAAAACTCTAAATTTACTAAAAGAAATAGCTACCAATAACGTTGATGCAAGTTCTCATTCTGTAGTAGCTACAGCATTATCTTAAATCCCTACAGAATGTGCGGCTCAGTTACCTAATATTCATAGACTCAAGCGTACTATACAACGACTACGTAAACAACAACTTCAATTACCAAAAGAGCCAACCGATTTCAATTTTAGTATACCTGACGAGATGACAAAAACCACTGACGGTAATCTTTTTTTACAATATGACAGTGGTATTAATACAGACAGAATTTTAATTTTTTCAACAACAAATTTATTAAAACTTATGACGCAATGCAACAATTGGTTTTGTGATGGCACATTTTCAAGTGCTCCAACTTTATTTTATCAAGTTTATACTATTCATGCAGTACAATATTCAAATGTTTTACCATCAGCTTACGTCTTATTACCCGATAAAAAAGAAAAAACGTATAGACGTATGTTTCAAGCATTAAAAACTATTACTACTGGATTATGTCCTAAAACTATCATGGTTGATTTTGAAAAAGCTGCGATGAACGCGATAAATTATGAATTTCCAGAAACAGAAGTAAAAGGATGCTTTTTTCATTTTTCACAGTGTATATTGCGACAAATTCAAGATGCAGGTCTTCAAACGAGATATAAGGATGATGTAATATTCGCACTACAAGTACGAAAGTTACCAAGTTTAGCTTACGTACCTGAAAATGAGGTAATTAATGCTTATAATAATCTTTTGGAGACAAAATATTTTACCGAACATGATGAATTATTATCACCGATCCTCAACTATTTTGAAGAAACTTGGATAGGATGCATGGACAGACGACAAAAAAGAAGAGCACCTAAATTGACATTTTCAATTTGGAATTGCTATTCATTGGTTTCGGAAGATTTACCTAGAACTAATAATGCAGTAGAAGGATGGCATAATTGTTTTACTTCAATTTTAAATCAATGCCATCCAAGTATTTGGAAATTCATATTCGCGTTGAAAAAAGAAGAAAATATAAATAAAGTAAAACCTGAACAATATACAATTTAAATTTTTTTTTTAAATTAAATATATGTATAGGTGGCGAACGTCCACCCGCAAAAAAAAATACTTTGACAAAGCACAGCGTTTGAAAAATATTTGTTATGATTTCAAAAATAGAACGACTGATGAATATTTACAAGGAATAGCACACAATTTCCAATTGCAAGTATAAGTGTATTATACATTGTTTTATACATTTTAATTCACAATTTATACATTATACAATTTTTACAATTTTATTCTAATTATAACTTTTAATAATGACAGACCTTTCTAAAAAAAGACAACATTTTTAACCATACCTACATAAAAAAGTAAATGTGTAGACAGTCCTAAGTCTGTATTAAAATGGGAAGGAAAATGTTGGATTTAAAAATATTACATAATATATATACCTATATGCGATAAATTAACTCTCGATGAATTGACGTCGCGATGAGTTGACGTCGCGATAAATTGATTACGATAAATTGACGCGCGATGAATTGACTCGCGACGAATTTACGTGCCACCCACCAAAATACTTCGCGCACCACTCACGCACCTACCGACCTGTGTTATGGTGTATATATGGGTAGCACTCAACAGGAAGTGGACAGGGTCGCCGAGCAAATCCTGTGAGGCTAGAGTGTGGGTGGGTGTGTAAATGTGTGTATATTGTGATGTGTGCTTAAAACTAATGGACAGGTACCTAACTCGATTTAAGTAAATGATAAAAAGTTGTTTAGTTGCTGTATAATTCACAAATTTAATTTAATAATATTGACAATACACAATCGATAGATCTCGCTAGAGAGCGTTCTGTGCTTTACGGCGGCCCGGTGTCGTAGCACAGAGTGAACAGAGAGATATATATACAGGAAAACGGACGATATTTTGATTTTTACATGCAACGTATATGGAGATCGGTCGAATTTACTAGTTTTTCGCTTTCGCAATACCTCGTTGAGTTGTGACGATATGCGCATGCGTGAGTGCGTGACCTTGGTTGCACGGCGGCGCGGCAGTGTGACATAGCGCTTTAAGCCGTGGTTTCCTACAACCACGCATCCGTGATTGCGTGGTGCGCGATGCGTGATGCGTGATCACGCAAAAGTTGAAACCATGAAAAACCATATTTGTGTTTATCAATAATTCACGCACTTGAATATTCACGCGCGCGATTGTCGATTCACGCACTACAGTCGCGCAACAGTCGCTAGTAGAGCAACATTTGCGTGTCACGCAGCGGAGGACGAAAATATACCCTTCTTATTATAATATATTTATTATTATTTATTATTTATTATATAATATAAATTGTATTTAAATATTTATTGCTTATAATAACTGCATATATTACTCAAATTATTACTAAAATTAGTAGGTAAGTACCAATTCCATACATTTCATTTAAAAACATGCTTATTCATTGACAATGTGCAAATCATCGACAAATTCAATAAATATTTTAGATCGTTCATTAGTTTTCAAAAAAACTATGGAGTCAAAATCATTTAACTCAGTAGATGACGAAAAGCTGATTGAATGTGTCCGAAATTATCCTGTTTTGTACAAATTAAGCGACAAAAATTATAAGGATAATTCCGTCAAAGAGAACGCCTGGAAAGAAATTGTACACTTCGTAGGAAAAAATGGTAAAATCATTGGTTTAAATATTTATTATTATGATTGTATCAAATTTAGATTCGGAATTTCATATTATTTATATTATATGGCGACTCATGGGTTTTTAGCGAGGCGTAGTGCACAATCAAAAATAAAAATAAACAAACATCTATAAATAGATGTTTGTTTATTTTTATATATATATTTTTATAATGCATTTTTTAAATAATATAATATGTAATATAAAATAATATGTATAAGGAAAAAATGTAGTTTATTTTTAAATTAAATAATATTATAAGAGAATACAATAAAAAATAAATACTTATTTTACTTTATTCTAAAATTACCAAATAAAACAAAACAAAATTGAAATCATAGAAAATACTTTTGAAAATAGCCCAATGTATACAATAATATTATTTCAATTAGTTCGTGTGACGTGTTTTTGCTGCCAGCTCACTGATCCTATCCTGCTGTTAAAATAATCTTTAAAAGTTTCCCTGACTCGAAAAGCTTCATGTGTTGCATTTCCCCCTATTGCACTTAATTGTATCATGTTCGTTTGTACGTCCGTTATGGGATCTTTTTCTGTTGAATCTGTAGGACACACCATTCGTTCATCTCGCAATAGATTATGGATAATACACGATGCCATTATTAAGTTGTCTACTGTCTCAGGAAGAATATTAATTGGTGTAAAAAATACTCGAAAATTTTGACACATAATTCCAAACGTATTTTCCGTTGTTCTTCGCGCTCGACTTAAACGATAATTAAAAATGGCTTTCGTTTGATCTGTTTTCGATTGATTTCGAGGATAGGGCCTCATCATTGTTTCCGTTAATTTAAACGCTTCATCACCAACAAATACATGAGGCACGACTATATCAGTATTTGGTAAGCACTCTGGGTCTGGAAATTTAAATTTTCCAGTTGAAATCAATTTTCCTAAATTTGATTTAGGGAAGATTCCTGCATCTCCTTCTTTTCCATATGACCCTATGTCGACCACTAGAAACTTGTAATTCGCATCACATAAAGCCAATAGAACAACGGAAAAAAATGATTTAAAATTAAAATATAGTGATCCAGAGCTATCAGGGCAAACGATCCTTATGTGTTTCCCGTCAATAGCGCTGCAGCAATTCGGAAAATTCCACATTTCATAGAAATCATTCGATACTTTTTTTAAACTATGTTCGGTAGGTTCTGGCATTGTTATGTTTTTCAATCGGTTACAAATAGCTACAAGTACTTCCTTTATAATGGTACTTATCCAGCTGTGCGATATTCTGAACTGAAATGAAAGAGATCTGTAACTCTCTCCGGTTGCTAAAAATCTGTAAAATGTAAATACATTTAAATTATTTTTAGTAAACGACTGCAAAACACGTTGGCGTACAGTAAGAGATTCGTACAAAAAAAATTTGAAAAAACGTAAATTAGGTACTGGTTCAGCAGCTCCTACAAAATCAAAGTATAACGATGATGCATTAAGTTTCTTAAACAACATTGAAGATGAAAGAAGGTAAAAACAAATTATTATTAATAAGCTACTTTATACGTATACTTATGTATAAATATGTATTTAAATTTTTAATCAACATTTCATAAAATTCGGAGATAACAATTTTTTTTTGAGATTAATTGTTGTAATATAAAAATATTTTATTTTTTTAACTAAATAGTAAATACTACAATGAGTAGTAAAGTCTATTAATTTTACCTTTTATCCATATTTTTGTATCTTTTAGATTCTGAGTGAAACGATGAATGTATTGATTTTACAATGATGTGTGTTTTTTTATTTTTGTGTCTGTCATCACGTTGTAGGACAGTAAAAATGCTTGGATTTTCTTCAACAGTAACTTTTCTGATAGGAAAATGAATCTAGTTGGTACTTTGGGGGGGGGGGGGGTCAAAAGTAAATATTTCCCAGTAGTTTTCAATAGGGCCGTGAAAAACAAAAGAAAAATTAGGAAAAAACGGGAATTTTTACGCAAAATCGATTTTGGTTTTTGGTGTAACATTAAAACACATGACCGTAGATACATGAAATTTTCACTGGTTGTTTATATTTGCATTTTCTATACACGATAACATTTTCAAAATATTGTTGTTGATGTATAACGCGTTATAAGTACCTAATGGATATTGTGATATGATTAATTTGGAATTTATTATAGGACATATAGGTACCTATTATAGGTAAATTTTTTTTAATACCATAGATAAGTATATAATGTCTTATACCTAGACTGACATACCGTCTCCACTCAGAATCGTTTTTCTTAAACAATGATATTATATCATTGAATTCAAATTTAATACCATCCATTATACAGTGACCAACTTGTAACCTACAGTACAGCAGAGCGACATCCACTTGCCCACCTTTTTTATTTTTATTAATATTTAAAATA